TCCTTCGAAGGATGCTATGGCTGTGTCCCACCCCGCACCCTGTCTGGGGGGTGCAAGGTGCCTTGGGGGTGTCGCTGTGCTCTGAGCATCCTCATTTCTCTCTCCCACAGGGTGCTGCTGGTAAAGACGGTGAAGCTGGTGCCCAAGGTCCCCCCGGCCCTACCGTGAGTATCAGGGAGCCTTTTGCCACCCATGGCCACTCATGGCCACCAGAGAAGGGGTTTGGTAGCTGACTACTCCCCCCTCACGCTCTCCCCCTCTCTCCAGGGTCCTGCTGGAGAAAGAGGTGAACAAGGTCCCGCCGGTGCTCCTGGCTTCCAGGTGAGACGTGTCCCCTCATCAAGGGGACAAAATGTCCAGAGAGGGGGTGGCACCACCCGCCTTTGGTCTCCCACCTCCCCGGTGCCTCATCACTCCTCTTCTTCCTCCCTAGGGTCTGCCGGGCCCCGCTGGCCCCCCCGGCGAGGCTGGCAAGCCCGGTGAGCAGGTGAGTGTGGGCAAGCACGGCGCGACATCGTCCCTGTCCCCTCCCATCGACCCTGTCCCCACCCATCGCCTCTGTTTCCCCCCCATCATCGCTCTCCATGGGGTGAACACTGCTGATGGGTGCCCCCCAACGCACCCCGAGGCCATAAGCTCCACGCAGCCCCTCCCCGGGACCCCTAGGACTGTGGGATCCCCTCCCCTGAGGGCATCCCAGGTACTCTTCCCCTGTTCCCAGGGTCTCCCCTAACTCTGTACCCTCTTCCCCCTCTACAGGGTGTCCCCGGAGATGCTGGTGCCCCCGGGCCCGCTGGTGCCAGGGTAAGTTGAAGCCCCCTCGCCCCCCCAGCCGGCTCTTGGCACCCCCTTGCTGCTCCCCACACCCCTGACGGCCTTGACCCTTCTCCTGCTTTCCCCCAAAAGGGTGAGAGAGGTTTCCCCGGTGAACGCGGCGTCCAAGGCCCCCCCGGTCCCCAAGGTCCTCGTGGTGCTAATGGTGCTCCTGGTAACGATGGTGCTAAGGTAGGTGGGGGGGGTCGTCCTGGTGATGGGTGATGGGTGATGGGTGATGGGTGATGGGTGATGGGTGACTGTCCCCATGATTTGTGACTGTCCCCATGATGAGACACTGTCCTGGGGATGGGTGATGGGTGGCCACCTGGGTGTTGGGTGACTGTCCCCACGATGGGCAATGGATGGCCATCCTGGTAATAGGTGACTGTCCCCATGATGGGCGAGTGTCCTGGTAATGGGTGACTGGGTGATGGGTGACTGCCCAGTGATGGGTGACTGGGTGATGGGTGACTGTCCAGGTGATGTGTGACCATCTTGGGGGTGCAGATATGAAGTTGGGGGTGGGTTTGGCTTTGCCTCCTTTTGCTGGGGCTGGTGTCAAAGAAGAGGGAGACTTTGCCGTACCAAGGAAGCAGCAGGTTCCCACTAATGCCTGTTTTCTCTCTTGCCCAGGGTGATGCTGGTGCTCCTGGTGCCCCCGGGGGCCAAGGCCCTCCCGGTCTGCAGGGTATGCCCGGAGAACGTGGTGCTGCCGGCCTGCCAGGTGCCAAGGGTGACAGAGTACGTGTCCTCCCAAAATCCCCATGTACCCCCTTGGTCCTCTGCTCCCTGCCATCCCTGTCCCCTCTCCATCGTGGATGCTCTCCCCTAAGCCGCAGCCAATGGGAGGGGACACTCGGTGTCACCTCTGTCCCCATCCGTGTGACCCTTGGGGACAGTCCCTTGTGGTCCCATCCTCTCCCAGGGAGGGTGAAGAACCGGAGGTGCCCTGATGCTGCAGTGCCAAAGGGCGAGGAAAGCGGGAGTGACCCCCCCGAAGGGGACTCCCCCCAGGTAACCCACCATCATCTTCCTCCCCCAGGGCGACCCCGGTCCCAAAGGTGCTGACGGCGCTCCTGGCAAAGACGGTCTGCGCGGTCTGACCGGCCCCATCGGCCCCCCCGGCCCCGCTGGTGCTCCCGGTGACAAGGTAGGGACAGGGCCAGCTGTGTCCCAGCGCCCCAGCCACCTCCTTGCCACAGCCTTCACCTTTTTTTTTGGTTTTTCTCTCCTTTCCCAGGGTGAAGCTGGCCCCCCC